AACATCATATTTGTACATGATAATTGATAAATTTAATTGTATATCTATTATTTTCATTTAAACTAGTTAGCACGCTACAAAAAAAAAGTTAGAGACATAAAAATCGAAAATACTAGATCAAAAGGCTTGCTAGAAACTTTTAATTATTAAAAAAAAAAAGAAAAAAAAATCAAACCATTTCATCAAAAAATTTAAGTTGTTAGAGAAAGAATATAAAAACTAAGTTAACCGCCTCATCAAAGAATATAAGTTGTCAAGAGAATATATTTATTTATTTAAAAAATATATCTTTACACATCTGATCTTTTGCAAGTTTAGATCCCACTCTTAAAGGCTTGATAAGTGCACAATTTTTTAAAATTTGAGACAACAAAACATGATCTATGTCTACTCGACTACCATATGTGATGTGTGAAAAACAAGATATGTAGTGTGTTGTGTGTATTATTTGTATGAGGTGGCTGGTGTTTATATATATATAGTATTCACAAATTAAATGGTGTGTCATGTTACCGGTGTTTAGAAAATTATTTCCGTTTATATATATAAGAAAATGGGAAAATCAAACTAGGAAAATCCATACAAATGAAGAGTGAAAAACTCAAATGAAATTCTGACAGACAGTAGTGATGGCAACGGGGCGGGGCAGGTTCAGGGCAGTTTTTTGTCCCGTTTACTGCCCCATTTAATTTAATATTTTTTTACTACACCTTTTCAAAATTTAGAGTTATACTATTAAATTATAAAATACAAATTCAAAATAAATAATGCTCAAATTAACATCAACATTCAAAGAAACACTCGACAAAACAATATAAAAGAAAAAATACTATATATTTTTTTAATATTAACAGGGCGGGTTCAGGGCGAGGAATTATGCCCCGCCCCACCCTGCCCCGCCCCATCAACCCGTCGGAGTGGGCCGGGGCAAATTGCCGTAACTAACAGACAGCTTTTGGAAAATATTCTACTGAGAAGGAAAATGTTTAGAAACTTCCCACAAAACTTCTTGAGCAAGAAATGCACATTAAATTAGAATAAAACGTTGATGAAGAATTTGAATTGGAAAAAAATAATAATAAATGAATGGAGTAAACTTCATGAGAAATTCATGGTCAAACAACTTGTTGAAGAAACTACATGCTTGCAAACTATTAGTAGATAGATTGGACGGTGTTAAAGGCAGAACAAAATGTTATAATCTTATTAGTTATGCTGTTTAATTTTGTTTTTATGTCAAATAAACACTATGCTTTTTTTTTTAACTACATGTGGTGGCATATTTTAATACTCCTCGTTTGACATCCAAAACTCTTTTTTTTTCTATATAATCATTTTCAATCACATATTTATTTATTACAATATTCTGCACGTAAATCTAAAACTTTAAATCCCACATTCTTCCAAAATTCACTGTTTAAAACTCCATTTTACTCAAATAATAATTGTTTAACATGGGCTTAGTAAAATAGTACAAACTACAAACCTAGGAGGAGGATATGTCTAACACAAGATAGTACATGGGAGGAAATGGTGACAGATAGTTACAAAAAACATACAATTTTTCAAAATAGCTGTTGACTAC